AGAGGGAGAAGGGAGAAGAGAAGGGGGGGATCTCAGTCAGCAGCAGCTGAGCGAGTGAACAGGTGCTACTGTATGTCTCCCAGGCCCATGAATCTCCAACAAGAAAGACAATACAAGTTTGGATTCATTTCCACTCCCTGCATTGATTTGTTTTGGTTCTTTATATGGGGCTTTTGGTTTAAGGAAACAAACGATGGCTCCCAGGTGAAAATGTCAGCGCTCTCCTCCTTAACCAGCTGTCTCCACTTTAAAAGTGTGATTTTTTTATTACTTTTTTTAAGTCGGAGAACCATCTTGATACCTGTCTCTATTTCTGTCTGTTCCACCTTTTCAAATCACAGGTAGCAGAGTGCAGAAGGTTGGAACAATGCCAGATTCACCTGCGGATGTGAAAACCCAGCCCAGGTCCACCCCACCCACTATGCCTCCTCCACCCCCGGCTGTCAGCCAAGCAACCAATCGCAATGCTTCATTCACCCCTACCACCAGTAAATCAAGTAAGGATCTTTTCTGTTTCTAAAAAGGAAATGATGTCTCCTTAAGTCAACTCCGACCTGTGATCTATATATGTAATACTACTGTCTGTGAGATACATGCTTTCCTTGGCTTCAAGATGACGGTTTTGCGCTGAAGTGTCGTGTCAGCAGGAGGTTAACCTGGCAGGTGTGAGAAAAACAATCAGCTCATAGGCGTACAGCATCATGACCCATGGATAGAACCACTCTAAGTGTTGAGTTTGAAGAAAGCTTCAGAGAAGATAACAAATACTGTGTGAGTTGGTATTGATTGAGTTGCAAATAATCCTTCTCGACAGAGCCCAGATTTAGTCATTTGTGTCAAGTGCGATTTTGGCATCCAGGTGAAACTCTACTTAACTGGAGCAACTAGTGGCATTAAGATACATATCATATAGTGTGATAGTTGCCATTGGACCATTGTTGTGTGTCAATGCCTGTCTCCCCTGTCAATTTTCAAATGTCGACAGCAAAATAAAAGCTGTGGTCTTAGAGAGAGGAGGTGACTACTTTTTTAAATTGAGTGGGAATGTTAAAGTCCAGGTTACATCCAGCTCTTATTGCAACTGTATGTTAGTAAAATTTTCTCTCTGTGTGTTAAGGACTGAATTAATTCTTACAAATAATGCATTTCTGCAACATCTCAGAATCCATCTACAACTGGCTATGCAGCCATTTGTTCCTTAGGTCAACTGTCACTTTATATGCCTGTGCAAAGGGAGGGAAATTCCAAATATGCGTTTCTTCCCTGTTCGGGTGAACAAGTGTTGAAGTCACTTGTGTGTCAGGTGTGTCCCCCCTGCAGGCATCTATGTGTGTGTCTTTGTGATGTGCGTAATGCCCTTGCTGGTGGAACAAGTGTCTTGAAGTGCATGTATGTAAGTGTGGATCGGGTGCTGTGAATGGCAAATGCGTGCGTGTGCGTGTGTGTGTGTGTGTGTTGTTTACCAGATGGTCAGGCGGCGGCCCGTACAGGGGACATCAGCCAGGATGGCGTTGCAGTGTGTAGACTACTTTCTTCCCTATATAGCAATGACAGGCCATGTTGTTTCACCTGTTGTGGCGGGCGGTCAGCAGTGTAGCTCTCTCCTTGCACCTCTCCCTCTCTCTAAAACCAGAACACAAGTGCTGCCTGTTGGGATCACATGGGTTAGTCCATATGTGTTCAGGCCTTCGATCCATGGATTAGAGCAACAAGCGTGCCTGAGAGGAGCAACCATAGGAACTGGACTAGTGAACAACTGAACTGCATAGAAACTCTGCTTTATTCAAGTATGAGGACAAGGTATAGCGTAACAGTCAACAGTCACTTACCATATCAGGCTGTAAATACATTTTAAAAAGATTAAGTTGCTGCACTGGTAATGAAATTATATTTTAAATCCTGAGTGTAAGTGCTTGCATATGCTGTTACTCATGGAACAAGTTATAAAGAAATTTGATTCCAGGTATATGCAAAGAGAGAAAATCATGTTGCATTTTGTCATCATGTTATTCCAGCACACATATAATGCATGCAAACAAACACATACAAACATACATGTACAGTATATGTTTATGTATATACTGTATGAATATATAGCGAGAAGCAGGACTGATTGAAGAAGAGCATTTTAGGGGAAAGCGTGTGTGTGACCTCCTGTGTATTACTGAGTTTGTTTGTGCCTGCTTTAAGAAGAATATGTGTGTGATTATATATGTGTATGGATGCTGTGTCTATTCTGAACCCTAAAACTGCAAATCTACTTTCAGCTGGTGGACATGTGCAGGGCCCGATTTAGCAACACACCTGCTACTGGAATAAAAGTAACACAGGCCACAGGACTATTTTTGGCACCTCTTTAACAAGTTCCTCTTATAGTTGTGTCCTAGTGAGTGAGTGAGTGAGTGAGTGAGTGAGGAGCAGGGTGGAATAGACTGATACACGGGGAGATGGAGGGGTTGGGGGGTCAAATTGTACCACTTGTGAGACAGCTGAAGTTACC